CCGGGGCGGTGTGTGTGTGTGTGTGTGTGTGTGTGTGTGTGTGTGTGTGTGTGAGAGAGAGAGAAAAGATGGGTGAGGTAATATCTTTTATTGGACCAACTTCTGTTGATATGAGAGAGACACGTGTTTGATCTTGTACAGATTTCTTCTTCAGAGAAGAAGTTGGTCCAATAAAAGACATTCCCTCACCTACATTGTCATTTTAATTGTCTATCAACTGCATGCATCCCTCTTTAAATACTTTTTTGATAAACCTGATTTTAAATGTATCAATGTTTAATTCTGCTTGAGGTAAACCGGTTTCTAATGCATTTTCCAGGCACATCACTGTTAAAGAAACTTGTTCTGCAGATTATTTTTGGGAGTCTGATATATGCAGAGTTTGGTTGAACAGTATTGTAAAATCTTCATTGTTCCCACAGTTCTTTTCAGATTGAATATTACAAACAGCAAAGTCTACCACAATGGACTAGAATGGACTAAGAAGCTTTTCTAACATTTTACTGTGATTGGAACTTTAAGTGATTTTTTTAAGCGCTTTTAGTAATATATTGGTCTACAGGCAAACAAGGTTTTTTGGTTGGGTGGATGGGTGATTAAAACCGATCCACTAGTCTGTACAGTTGCTGCCAACCTGGTCTGGAATCAACAGGGACTTAAGGTATATCTGCACTACAGTGGCACACCTGTGGCTTTGCAGCTATGCTGCTGCAATACTTGATACAGCAATAGAAGGGGTTTTTCTGTTGTAGTAAATCCACCACCTTGAGAGGCAATAGTTAGGATGATGGAAGAATTGTCCCATCAGCCTAGTAATGTGTACACTGGGGCTTAGATCAATTTACTAACGTTTCTCACGGGAGTGGATTTTTCAAGGCTGCACAATTTATTGCCATTCATTGAGTAATACAGATCCATTCTGAATTTTAACTTCTGAAAGACCATTCCCATTATAGTTGCATAACTTTTAATTTGCTTTTCTTAAAGCTGCTTTAAGATCCTGGTTCAGCTGCAATAATCATATGCCGTCTCGCATTATCGTGTATCGTGATGGTGTAGGAGATGGTCAGCTAAAAACCTTGGTTAACTATGAAGTACCCCAGTTTTTGGATTGCTTGAAATCTGTTGGTAAAGATTACAAGTAAGTCTCTTATGATGGATGCAGTGATGCAATGAAAGGCTGTAGTGATATAAAACGTGCACTGTCATGCTTCAGAAAATCAATAAGACTGCTAAAAGATTGCATACCTCTTCTTTACACTAGTGTGCACTTGCATCAGATCATCTAGTAAGTGACACAAACAGCTTCTTTCCTGCTCATTGAGTTTTTATTATATTGGGTATTCTTTTACAAAGAGCATGCCTAATGTTGATGTGATGTAACTGGATAATTCCATAAGGATATTGTTACTCCTTTTGACACTTGTGATGTTACGTCCTCGATGTACATATAAATTATGATTTTTTCCCTTTGAACTATCCGGTCACACCTCATCATGACCACATGAATTCTAGGTTAATCATCCTTTATTTGCATTCTCATGGTCCTCCATTGTCAGTAGTTTGGGAATAGCCTTACATTAGCTCCAAAATCTGTCAATGCTGGTACAACCGAGTATTGAAACTGTCACTGGAACAAAACGGTATGCTAAACAAAAATAGACCAGTTACAGCCAGTGGTAATGGAAACACTTAATTTTTTTTTCCTCTATTTAGCATCTGGCAATATTTTTTCTGCATATATTTTTAGTGTATGCTAATAGATGTGTGCCATGTTGAGTACACCTAAAATAAAGGAGAGGAAGAGAAGAAACCTTATATAGTAGAAGTATTGTTGTAGGGAAAACTTCTACTCTCATGGTCTCCCAGCAATGGAGACTGTTCTTAATATAGAAAGGAAGGCTTATCTGTAACAAGCAGTCTCAAATTACTTTACCTACTTTATTTAGAAGTCTGGTTTCTACTGGATCAGTAAAGATGTAGTTCCCAAAATTTATTTTAAAGAACTTTAACGGGAAATTTCTCTAAAATGAAGTTTCAAAAAATTGCTCTTATGTTGCTCATATAATCTTTTCTAGCCCAAGACTTACAGTAATAGTGGTGAAGAAACGAGTGAATACTAGGTTCTTTGCACAGGCTGGTGGAAGACTTCAGAATCCACCCCCTGGCACAGTTATTGATGTAGAGGTTACCCGGCCAGAATGGTAAGTAATGCTTTTAGGAAGATAATAGCTCTTTGATGGCAGGAATCAGTTGGTTGGCTTGCATCCTGCTACCAGAAATGGAATCTGATGCTCACTCAAAAGAAACGAGTAGGCCAAATTGGATGTACTGTTAACATAACTGTAAAAATGGCATTGCTAGCTGGCAAATTTATGTAAATAATCTTTCATATTTTCTCAGTCTGCAAGTTCTTGCTGCCCACCACTGAAAATCCAACCTGAAATATGAAAGTCAGTGTACTTCCTGTCTCTTGCCTTTTCTCCCAGTAATAACTAAATTCTGAATGTAGAATATTTGTGTTGGTGTATGAGCCATAAAATAATCCTGCTCACACTCTCCCAGTATCTCAATTAATTCTTCACTGCTAACCGTAATGAATTTTAAGTAAAACACTGAATACATACAGTGAGCAAATCTGAGTAATAACTAGAGATATAACATTTCTGAAAACTTAGAAGGCAAGGAAAAAAGAGGTTTTTTTCCTGTGCGTATGGGGGGGACAAATCAAAATATTTGCGATAGTTACTTATTAAAACTAAACTTTCATTTTTTAAGAATGAGAAATATATTATGTACAGTTTAGCTAGCACATAGAAAGTACTGCTGTGTATATTTATAAAAGCATAAATTTTCACATGCTGCAGAAATTGGGGTATTCTGAAGCAGACCAGAAGCTAAGAGGAGTCAGAGGTTGTGTTGTACAAAGGCCTTGCCACTATGTTGTGTGACAGATTCCCAGATTACACTCTTGGACAAAATACCTCAATAGATTCTGTTTTCTATAACATTTGAAAGTACTTTTCCATCGTCTAGTTCGAAGTGTGGTGTTTGTTAATAATCCAGTCAAATATTGTAACAATGCTAGCATCACTAACATTACTACCTTTGAATCTTGGCTCAAAGAGGTTTGCAGCAACATTCTTTCCATCTACCAATTAAGTCCTTCACTTGTACTTCTTCCTGACTTGTGAGTGGAGAGACACTTAAAATCAACTGTTTTTGAGCAACTGTCTTGGCTGTAAGTTGAGGAATGTCTGACAAAAGTGCTTTGTCTGATTCAGATACCGTGATTGCAGAAACGATTGGCTGTAGAGTCTTCAGAGTTCTGCAGGTGAACCTAGAAATTATCCTCAAGTACAGTGTAGTGTACATTTTAACTATTTTAAGATCTTCAGTTATCACTGTTCCTTGAAAAGCTCTTCTTTGTTTTAATAAACTTTCAGATGACATCTCTAGTTCCCCATCTTGTTTTGCTAGAAATTTTACCATTTTATTCTTACCATGCTTTCCTTGCTTCGTCAAATATGCTACAATAGGCATAGTTTTCACATACTTTAGAACTTCCTTTTGCTGTTTCGTGGATCTTTTTGAGTGTTCCACTTCATGAAATCATTAATAAGCGGATTTAGGCCACGAGAAACACCTCCTACTGCAGTAATATATGGATATTTGTTATGATGTCCCATGCTGCTTTCATATTGTTGGCATTGTCAGTCAGAGCAAGTACTTTCCCACTTACAATTTTCTCTAGTGCCACACATATTTCACTATACTCTGCAGCATGTCTGTTTTCATGCTCTTCCCTCTCTTCCCCCCCCCCCAAACAAAACAAAACAAACCAACAACCTGGTTGAGGTGTTATCACAAAGTTTGATTCCTTCCCCCAGTTCATTTGTCTGCCAGGCGAAGTGCTCCATTGATATTTTGTTCTTGTACAGTTTGTATTACACAGTCATATTCTAACTGTAGAAGAGGCTTGCTCAAAGAACATCTGCTGGTTTACAGGTATGATTGCTTTAGTAGTTTAAATGCTGCCTGCCAATAACTGTTTTCCATTACTGATAATGGTGTACCAAAAGCATATATCGCTCTTGCCAGAGCTTGGTCAAATTTTTATTTATTATCAGGTTTCATCTTGTCTATAAATGAAGTCATTATTGGGAGTCTCTTGGATATAGTTGGTTGAGATGAGCTGTTTTCCTGATAATTGATTGAAGAGTTGAACTTGTACAACACTTCCAGATGATGTTGCAGAAGCAGGAGAACATTGAGAACATTTTGTTGCAAGTACAACCACTTTGTGTCACTTCCCTCACGCTCTTCTTCTTGATGTTCATTTCCACTCCTGACGAATTTTTTAATGTCTGCAGGACATTTCATACATGCAAAGCTGTTTTTGGTCATCCTGGTAATATTGGAAATGCATAGTTCCATTGGCAGTGTTTACAAAATACTGATTCTTTTTTGTTTGAATAACTTGGGGCTGGTCCACACTAAGCCCCCAGTTCGAACTAAGATACGCAACTTCAGCTACGTGAATTGCCTAATACTAAAGGATTTGAAATAAAGTATTTCAAATGAAATACTTATGGGGGGGCTTTGAAAGTTTCCTTTTTTTCTGGACCCTCACATCTATAGTAATAACTAGCAATTGTAGAGCACTTTTCATTCATAGACTTCCAAGAGCATGTGTATAGAAGAGGAATCTGAAATATAAGAGAAATGAATTCTCTAGAGTCACATGGGAAGTCAGTTGCAGAGCTGGAAATATGCAGCTAGTTTCCTGACTCCAGTGTCTTGGGATGATGGTATGAGAAATAACAATTTTTACACTTGTCTACACTAAAATGTTAGGTCAACTCAGCTACGTCACTCAGTGGATTAGGCCTAATCTCTGGTGTAGATAGTTCTATGTCAACAGAAAAATTCTTCCGTCAACCTAGCTATCACCTCTCGGGGAGGTGAATTATGCTACTCTGACAGGAGAGTCCCTCCCATCAGGATAGATCATGTCTACACTGAAGCTCTTACTGCATTTCAAGTGTAGACAAACCCATAGTAATTTCTGAACATAATTGTACTTAAAAGATTGTTACAAAACCTAATTTTAAATCTTTAACTGATTGCATGTAAAGTTGCAGGAAAACGTACAGATTTTGTTGGAGTGTGTAGGGAGTAGTGGACTACCGCCAACAAAATAATTGGATGTGAGGATAGAGGTTGTGATAGAATGCTGTGTTGGAGGGAATGAAAGAAGAGAAAAGGGGGTAATTTAACGATTCTAACAAAGGTGAGGACTTGGTGTGTGTTGTTTTTTTTTTAAATTGCCAGTGTGTTTGGTGGCATCTTATACGCATATTACACAGAAAACTATGTTAAAAGAACATAACTAAGGTTGCAAAGTCAAGCACTCAAATTAAGAAATGACAGAATTAAGGTTTCCTGTGTAACCTTAATTCAGCCCCCTTGTGCATGTGTGTTATGGTACAATCCTTAATTATATATTTTTTTTCCACAAGACTCCTGCTCCTTTTAGTGTACACTTAATGAACAGCTGTTTAATATTTTGTTTTCCTCTTACTGTTCAGTGGGTGGTCCCATACCTTATGAAGACAGAATTATTCATTCCCTCATTGTTTTTTTTGTGCGAAATGCTTACAAATGTTAGTTTATTTTCGCACATCTCCAATGAGATATGTGGGTATCCATCATCTGGGGCATAGCAAGATTAAGGTCAAAAGTATCCACTGACTGTGGGTGCCCAATTTGAGACACCTAGGATATTTTTTTTCCAGAGTACTTAGCATTATATAGCACTTTATACGTTCCAAGTACAGCTCCCCCTGACATTAATGGCACTTGTCTAAGGGTCGCAAGTTGGGCACTGAGGAAATGAGGCACACAATTAGTAATCAGCTTTAAAAAGTTTGGTTTAAGCAACTTGCCTAGCTGGTAATAGAGTATCAGAAGCTTATATTGCTCTTGCGAGAGCTTGGTCAATTTTTTTGTTGATATTCAGTTGATATTATTCATCTTGTCTATAAATGAAGTCATTGTTTTATTTGGTAGGAAAGCATACTCCTCAGCAACCCTGCAGTTAAGGATTGCAAACTGCCAGCCCAATGGCAAAGTACGATCACACCAATTATGGGAAACTTAATGCCTTTATTGGCCACTTGCCAGATGAACAAAGAGCAATTTCAAGCCATCATCAGAGAGAGCCAGTTGATAGCGAGGACAGGGCTACAGACTGCCCAGCAAATGCAGTGGCCCACTCAGTGTTGATGGCAGTGGTGATGAGATGGTCATCATGGTTATACCTTTCGGGCCTGCTGAAGGAAGTGAAGACAAAGGTTGAGGACCTCCCATTGCAGGGCCCCAAGGTTTTCACTCTATACCTTTTTAAAGGACTTGAGCCACATTGCACTCACTAGGAATCTACACTCCGTCACAGAAAAGAAAATACACAGCCATTCTACAGACCCCACCTGCCCCAGTTCCCTCCACCCCAGTGATACTACGAACCACAACGTAAGAGACCAGAGACCAAGAAAGGAAGACCATCCGCCCCCAACCTTCAACATTACAGCCCTCAAACTCAAAACACTAATTTTGATGCCTTGGTCAAGACCCCGAGTGACCGTTCCCTCCAACAACTGCTGCAGCATACAAATCTTACACAGCCCTTTGGATGCCGCCTTGTTCTTTTCCAACAGAATTAGGAAAACAACTTCAGAGAGATGGGTCTTGGAGATCATTTCCAAGGCTTACTCTATTCTCTTCAGGGATCTTTCTCACAACAGATTGTGATGTCAGGAATTAGATCACCTATTAAGCCCTGGGGCTATAGAACCGGTTTCTGATAAAATCAACGGAACAGGTTTCTATTCCAATTATTTCCTGATCCCCCAAGAATCATTCTGGATCTCAGAGCAATAAACAGATACATAAAGGCCCAAAAATTCAGCCTGATTACACTAGCAGCAATTATTCCAGCTTTAGGCCAGGGAGATTTGTTCTGAGCCCTTGACTTACAAGTGCCTATTTCCACATATCCATTCCACCATCCCACAGGAGAATCCTCAGATTTTCCTTCGGTCAGGACCATTACCAATACAGAGTGCTTTCATTTAGCCTATCATCCACACCCAGAGTATTTTCCAAAGTTCTATCTGCAGTAGCAGCTCATCTGTGCAAATTGGGAATCATGTTTTACCTGTACGATAGCCTTATATCAAGGCTTTTTTTCCTTCAACACTCTCAGAGCCACTCAAAAGACTATGGAGGTGTTTGAGCAGCTAGGCCTGCAACTGAATATCCAGAAATCAACCTTAACTGTGGTATAATGCTTGCACTTTATAGGGGCTTACCTCAATGGGGTGAAGGCCAGAGCCTTCCTCCTGCTACACAGATTCGACACCCTGACTGCCTTAATAGAGACAGTTCAGGTCAGCTGCCAAACATCAGTCAAAAGTTGCCTTCAGCTGCTCGGGCATATGGTGGCATGCATGGTTGTGATATCTCACACAAGACTACACATAAGATGCCTGCAAGCATGGCTCAGCTCTGTATTCACACCAAAAAGATGGTTTAAACAAGTTACTGCCCCCCATTGTCAAAATTTCCCTCAAATGGTGGAAAGATCCAAGGAATGCTTGTGCAGGGATTCCATTAATGTAGCTGTGCTCTCCCCCCTCCCCCCCAAATTGATACTGACAGCATTTCTAGTGGGCTGAGGAACTCACCTGGCCAATCATAAGATTCAGGGCAAATGGTCTCCAACAGATTCAGCACTACATATTAATCTCCTAGAACTGAGGGCAATCAGGAATGCTTGTGTACATTTCCTATCATTAATCAGAGACACATACAGAAATCGTGACAGACAACATGGTGTGCATGTTTTACATAAATGGCCAAGGGGAATGTGAGATCACAATCCCTATGGGCAGAAGCAATACAATTATGGAGTTGGTGCATTCACCAAAACATTCACATAGCAGCAACGTATCTACTGGGGCTCAGGAATATAACAGTGGACACTCTTGTCTCACAGGATCATGAATGGAAAGTGGCCCCAAGCGTGCTCCACAACATCTTCTGTTGGTTGGGGGGGGGGGGGGGGACCCCAGCCATAGATCTGTTTGCTACTGACGGTGACAAGAAATGCATCTGGTACTGCTCCAGAGCCAGACTGGGAAGACAGTCATTGGGGGGATGCTTTCCTCTTTCAATGGAGCAAAGAGCTACTTTATGCCTTCCTTCTGTTTCCACTCATGGCAAATGTCCCTCTCAAAATAATGAGAGAGAGCGAGCGAGCAAAAGTCGTACTTAGAGCTCTCACGTGGCTGAGATAACTGTGGTACATGTACCTGACACAGCATGGTGCTCACCAATTACTCTTCAGTCCCTTCCTCATCTCCTCTCTCAGGATACCTGGCAGATCCATCATCCTGACTTACAGGTTCTCCGACTCAAGGCTTGTCTCCTTGATGGTTCCAACACACAGAGAATTCCTACTCTGAGGAGGTGAAAGAAGTATTGTATAGTAGAAAACCAACGACGCGTCACACTTGCATTGAAAGGTGGAAAAGACTCCACATCTGGTGTACTTAGAAACAAATAACCCCGACATCTTCCCTCCCATTAATACTAAATTACATCAGACACCTCAAAAAGATGGGACTATTTTTCAGCTTGTTAAAGGTGCACTTTGTGGCCATAAGTCTTCCACCAGCAGATAGACGGATATTCAGTATTTGCACACCCGTCAACGAAGAGGTTCCTCAAAGGTATGAGTAACCTTCACCAACAAATCAGATATTCTTCACCAACATGGGACCTTAATTTAGTCCTCAGGAGCCTAACCTTTTGAATCCATGGCCACATGCTCCCTTGTGCATGTGTTTATGAAGACCACTTTCCTAGTAGCATCACCTCAGTGTGAAGAATAGGAGAAATAGTGGCTCTAATGGCACATCCTCCCTTCACTATTTTCTTTAAGGATAAAGTCACACTGCGACCACACCCAAGGTTCCTCCCCGAAGTAGCCTCATCTTTCCATATGAACCAGTGTATTCATCTTCCAACCTTTGTCCCAAAGTCTGTGTTTATTGTGGTGAGGCAATACTGCAGACGGTGGATGTCAGGAGAGCCTTGGCATTCGACTTGGACAGGACAAAGGAATTTAGGAAATCCCCTAAGCTGTTCTTCTCAATTGCAGACAGAGCCAATGACTGCAATATCTCAGTCTCTTAAACTGGGTTTTGAACTGCATTAACCAGTGCTATCGTGCCTATAATCTGCAACCTCCATCTGGTGCACACTCCATATGTGCTTGCTGACAGCAGAGAAATGGTGAGGCTCAGGAATCTTGGATTCATTCCAGGCACTGGAGAAGAGGTCTAGCAGTCTTACTCCCTGTGCTCGGTCTTGTCCCTCACAAGTTTGACTCCTGGTCTGTTCCTGTCAGACCTGTCTCTCTCCTCACCCCCTGCTTCTTGTCCCAGTCTCCTTGCATGGTCAGTCTTAGTCTCCCCCCTAGATTCCCAGTCTCCCTTCCTGGTCTCCAAGCCCATCTCCATACCCAGCCACTCCTGGATCCCACTCCAGCCCCTTGCCTGAGCGGTCTCCCTTACCCCAACCTGTACTCCTCATGTTTTTCCTCCAGTTCCCCTCTCCCCGTGCTCCCTAGGCTCCTTGTCTCATTCTACTCCCTTCACCAGTCCATCTGTTACCTGTCTGTGTTTGAACTGAGTAACTTCCTCCTCAATGTTGCTGGGGTCCAGCGTGGTGGAATTGAGACCAGAGGCAAGACGGTCTCCCTGCTCTAAGTTCTGGTGTCTAGACTCAGACCTTGTATAGGCTGCAGCCACTAAGAGTAGCACTTGTCGGGAAAGTCCTGCTTAGCTCTAGGCTTGAATATGCCCAGTGTGGACAGAATCTCTTCTGAGGTTTTAGCTGTTAAACTCTGTCTCTATTCAGCAAGTGCAAACTGCAATTTTTCAGACTCAGGTTATCCAATTTTGAGTGGAGTCTCACATGGATGGCAAAAAGCATATCCTGATTCAAAGGCCACCGCCTACCAGTTTTCAAGTCCCAGCTCCAGAACCTGGAGTTGCTATAGCATTTGAAAGAAAAGATCTCAAGAATTTAATATGGTCAAAACAACATATTTTTCCCTAACCTCATTATTGGAAGCAGCTGAACCATTTTGGCTGAAATTTGTAAAACTTCACCTTGAATGGTCGAAGTTTGACAAAGTTATAAGTAACTGGAAAGAGGGTCTTTTACCTGAGGGTATCAGGCAACCTTAATAGACTGTTACCTGCAGAGCCTATAATGTTGTATATAAAACTTGCTTGTTTTTCTCACTTTCCTGTTGTGCTTACCATGCTGTAGTTCTACAAAGGCAAATAGTCTTTTTTAAAAATGTCTGGTAAATTGATTTAAAGGCAAACTTTATATTTTGTGTGAAGGACTTGGATTTGAGTACAACTTCTGGTTTGTATTTTTTCTTCAATTACAGGTATGATTTTTTTATTGTGAGTCAGGCTGTGAGAAGTGGTAGTGTTTCACCAACCCACTACAATGTAATCTATGACAACAGTGCATTGAAACCAGATCATATGCAACGTTTAACTTACAAGCTCTGCCACATGTACTATAACTGGCCAGTAAGTATCTGCTTCTGCAATGCATAAGTGCAAAACAAAAAAATTGATGCTTTTTTCCTGTTCAGGGGTAATATTCTGACTATATCATGTAAATAGCTCTTATTGTGGGGTTAAGGCTGCGAATCTTTGGGAGAGGGGAAACTATGAATAAAAAACTGCATACTGAATATGTATAGGAGTTTTTGCTTCCAGATCAATGACCTCGGTATTATTTGGCCTTAAGCGTAAAGAGCTCATGCACCCATAAAGATTTAAAGTGACTTAAGCTGCCTTGCTCAGCTGCTGCCTCCTAGCCTAAACATTCTAGTCCTTACAGACTGTACATGAGCCCATAGTCTCTCATTGGAAAAATGTTTAACTCTGTGCTCCAGAGAATTTAAATATTACTGGATTATTCTTACTAATCTGTAGAATGTCAGACTTTTTTGGGGTGCAGGAGGGGTGCTGGGAAGTGACAGTAGTGCAATCTCGTCTCCTCGGATTGCCTTAGGACCTCTTTCCCCATATTTGGCTGGCTGGTTGGTCTTGGTGGGATAAGGACTCTGGCTCACTTCTGAGAATTTATTAGAGCTGTAGGCATAGTATTCATAAATACTACACTAGATCTTCCATGACATGTTCAGCTACCAGTGCAGGACTTACAAAATCAGACCTTTGCCTCCAGCAGTGTGCACCTGTTTCCTTTTTCTTCGTGTGAGCTTTGAAATACAGTGGAAAACTAAGTGAAAGAAAAACCTAATTCATTTAAGATTGTACAGTTAAAACCAAGCTTGGGAACTGCAGAAATTAAGGGTCATGTGATAGTGCAAACTCAGCCATGGTAGAGTAGTTTTCTTTTGTTAACTTGCACTTTACATGTATCAGTTTATAATCTGAAAAGTGACTCAGGGTTCTGCTCTCTGGTTTCGGAGACCTGATGGGGTTTTGCTTCCCATCTTTAAACTCTCAAGCTTTTTTCAAATCCTTCATTTTAGACATATTGCCCCTAAGTGGGACCTACGTTCTCTGTTCCGTAGTCTGAACTCTTAATGAAAAATGTCACTACATCTTTGCAGTGAAAATAGCATTTAGTTCCCATACCCCCAGCTTTTTGTTAGCTAGGTAAATCTCCAAAACAGCTCCTGAGTCCGACCCTGCACCTTGCCAATATGTCCATTCCCAATACACTAAGGGTTTTTGGCTACTATACTTTTTTCTGTTGGCTGAAGCTGTGCATAGGGTGACCAGATGTTCCGATTTTATAGGGACAGTCCCGATTTTGGGGTCTTTTTCTTAAATTGGCTCCTATTACCCTCTACCTCCTCTCCCGATTTTTCACACTTGCTGTCTGGTCACCCTAGCTGTGCACTACACTAACTTGATAACAGATGGGCAAGACTCCTCTCTGCCAGTGAAGTTCCACTTTACACCATGGTATTTCCACAATCTGGGCTGAGAAGGCTGAGGCCTTCACAGTAGAAATCTGTAAGGCAACTTCCATGAACCTTGCATCACTATTCAGTTATCTGCTACGGTTGATATGGGTAGCACAGAAAAACTTAGCTCTTAAAGCTGCTTATTCAATAAAATTGCCATCTCTTATGGGTCTGCTCACTGCCTTCGTTCTCTGGAAACTTGTACAGGATGGGCGATGGAACAGCAAGGGGAAATTACATTCTGGTAATTCAGCTTGTTGAAGTTTGTCCTCCTCTTGCATCCTTCCCTTTGTCTTGTATTATGAGAAGGAGTTGGTTTTAAAGCAAACAAGGGCTGGCCGAAGCGGTCTTAAGCAGGGTGGGAGGAGGGACTCAACCAACTGAATCTACTGATGAGTAATTTTTTTCCCCCAACTGTAACGGCACGTTTCAGTGCATTATGTAATTTAAAATATACAGAATGTACAAGAGAATCTACCAATGTGTATGTATGCAATTTCTGACTTTGACTTGAACTGTACAACCTCAGTATTGAATTAATGTGACTTGCATTTATGAAATGCTTGGCAGGCAATCTGAAACAGGCACTTCGGTGTGGATCTTTTTACATATGCAAAATGTATATAACTATTTGGGTACACTATTTTATTTGCATTATACAATATATTTGACAATAAGGGAAAAACAAATGTCAAATACAAACTTTGAATTTCAAATTTTTGTCAGTATTTAGCTTTTACTGAATATGTTATTTGTTAAATGGCTTTCTTCTTCTGCAGGGTGTTATCAGAGTGCCTGCACCTTGCCAATATGCCCATAAACTGGCTTTTCTTGTGGGTCAGAGCATTCACAGAGAACCGAATCTGTCACTCTCAGACCGTTTATACTACCTTTGAGCTACAGAAGTGGATAAAGTGAAGTTTGTGGAACTTTCTGTGGTACTGGTTTTTCTTTTTCTTACTGAAGTTGTAGTTTTCTACAAAACTTTGATGCAAAAATAGTAAAGGTGCATGGGGAAAATGCGTAACTACGCACAAAGATCATGTCGTTTTTTTCTACAATGAAAATAACAATTATAGCATAAAAAGGCAATTCTGAGTTCAGTTACCTTTTAAACTGACAAAGCAAAGTTAATATTTTATTCAGCCTACTTGCTAATTTAAAAGACATTTTCCGTGTGTGTGTGTGTGTGTGTGTGTGTGTTTTTGTTTTAAAGGGGAACTACAGACATCACAGTTGCTCTTGTGGGGAATCTGTGCTTATGTGTACTTTATGATTGAATACACTAAACATAAGTTGCACTAAGCTAAAGCAGACTTCTTTGGTTCCTGTATTAATAGTTGACTACTTAAAGCTATATTGAAAAAAAGGAAAGCTGTTGACCCTTGAATTTTGCATGCCAGCTGTCTCCTAAAAAAGTATAGGCATTGTGCCCAGTGTTCTTAGTTATCAAGACTCATTTTTGTGGTGATTCTTCCAGACACTGTAAGCATGATGAAATGTCACTGTACTTGTCATTCTGATTTTCCTCTTGCATACACAAAGTTAAAATATTAAAAACTGCTCTATGCTAGTTTCTTGCCAATCTTTGCAGCTGGAAAACACAGGCTTAACCAGTTACATCAAATCTTCAAACAGAGGTGCTCCAATGGACAGTGAAAATAAAGTAATGTTATTGGTTAGTCATACAATAGAAGTTAGAAACAAAAAATACATATTTGAAATGGACTGGATGACCTGCAGGAGCACGACTGGTTCCCACTTGTTGGCCCAGTCTACTTTGAAGTCTCATTGATGAAGTCCCTTGGGGAACTGGTGGAACGGATAAAGTCAGTGTTTTCCATCTGCATAGAGACAAAATATCCATGAAGATGTAGATAGGGCCTTCAAATGTTCTGTAATATTTAGCCCAATTATCCATTTCTTAATTTCTTCTCACTACTTCCAGTTACGCCTTTATGTGATCCGAAATAACTTCAAACTATTGCGGAAATAACTTCTGCAGCAGTTTCACTTTTTCATGCTCATTGACTAGCACTCTGGGTTGCTGTGCTAATACAATATGGACATATGAAAACTAGAAGACATTTCAAGTATTTCCATAACTAGCTTAAATTTTAAGCTAAAAGTTGTATAAATTCTGACATGTGAAGTAAAGCACTGTAGCTTAGAACCACAAGAATCGTCTTTTTATTATTCTTTCAGGTTCTTCCTGTGTACTAAAATAAAGCATCACCAAGCAAAATCATAGTAGCTTACTTACGTTGATGTCTTTTGGATTAGTTAAACTCTTTATTAGAAAGGTACATTTGTTTAAATATAAGATCATTGTAGTAATTAGAACCAACTTAAATTGTGAACGTTTTTCCTTTTTCTTGATAATACATTTCAATAAAGTTTTGTTTAAAATCTTGCATTTGTTTGCTCATATTACTTTTATATATAAATATAGTTTAAACCATACAAGAAGCCAACCTTTTAGATGCCCTCCTGTGTGAAGGCCCCTTAGCATCTTCTAACATTAGTACAGCATCTGTCTGTGCATATCCCCTTGTTTAAAGCACAGATTTGTTGCTTAAAATCTGGTGGTTTTGGAAAATGGCCTAAATTAAAATGACACCTTACCCATAATCTACCGTATGCTTGTTTTAGTAATAAAACAGGTTTTTACTGCAAGCGTTTCAGTGCCTATATAGATAAGTAAATTGGTGTATTCTAGACCTCATTTGTGTATTAATCCAAGTTGAATTTGCAGGTCCAGGATGGGAGTGAGGAAGGGTGTTTGAAGAAATATTTAGACTGAGCAAATGCAGTTTGGTATATTGAGTATACATGATCTGGAAATCATTTTTAACATATTATTTGAATACCCACAATGCCAATTTTTAGAGTTGCTTTTGGAATAGAATTCTGCTTGAGATCAGAATTTCATTGTATATATTACAACCAGTACTGGTGTAATGCAAAATTGCACTTTATTTGTATGCACCATTTGGAATTAGAATGCTGTATTATCAAATTTCATTCTTCCAGTAACTGTTAAGGTTGAATAGATAAAATAATTTAAGAGTAAAGCCATTATAGACATTTTGTAATACTTGAGTTTTGAGATAAGTTACAAAATCCCCGTAATGGCTTTTACTTGTAACTCTAAGTTTAATGTATTTTTGGTCTGAAAACATCCTGGGTGCTTTATTAAAAATTTAATGCATGGACACTAACATTATCTTTGATACAACTTAATCCCAACAAACAAGTTTACATCCAGCAAGCAGAAGTGGTCAGGGAAATGGAGTAAAGAGTACTTCTTTTGTGGGTGACACATAGCTAATAATGGGTATTCAAGAATGATGACCTGTTCATGAGTTGTGGTGAAATACAAAAAAGGGTGATGTTCCAGGTTATACCCATTAAATATTTTTGGGGGGAGGTAGGCATTTGTCTCTCCATAAACCTACAGATATCTATAGGTAATTCTCCCGTACATTTTGCAATGGAAGTTCTGATGATTGTGTTACAAATTGTAGATGGTCTCGGGTTGAGTGTCAGTAGAATTACCCATCCTTTGAGCCAAATCAAAGGATTAAAGATTAACATTTAAAGATTAACATTTTAGTTTAGAGCTTGGTCTGTGTATCTGAACTTGGACAGAGATTCACTCTTCCTAACTTGGTCTGTTGGCTTGTTAATGGTAAACAAATTAAAGCATCACAGTTTGAACTGCAAACTGAGAAGTTTTAGAACCCAAGGGACCACTTAAGTATCCACGTTACTTTAAATGTAGAGTAGCAATATGCATATTGAACTGAACGCTTCCACTGTTTAAGAATGCACTATGAAAATAGTACCAAAAAAGCAGAACTGTACATAATATTAAACAAAGTGTACAGGCACTGTCTACCCAGTTGTTCTGAACTTCAGGGAACTGGCTCTGGCGTGAAAACATAGGAATTTGCTTCCCCAACAAACTCTACTGAGTAAGGTGCAGCTTTTTTTTAGAGGTGGAAAGGCTGATATGAAATGGAGGGTCAGGGAGGAGTGTTCATCATTGAACAGTGTTAAGTGATAGGAATTATATATAAACACAAATGTCCTGTACTGGGATTTTTAAAGAGTCTAATCTTCAAGGGCAGTTAATACATGTTACAGCTATATTGTCACTGCAAGAAATCTGTCAACTAACTGATTTTCTTTTTAATCAATTCAGTTTTGGACAGGAAGTTAGAGATAACTTAAATAGCTTGGTTTTATCACGTTTTTTAGTACAGGGCAAAAAGCTGCTACATGGAGTTTCCCTGTGCTTCATCTCATCTCTGAATTATCTCATGGTGGTTCCTTTATGGAGCTTGACTCTTGAATGCTTAGGACCTTCTCTTCCAGATATCTAGAAGCAGCTAGTTAAAGAAGTTCTTTACCTGAAAATTATTCTCTGCATCTGCATTGCTGTACACTTGTCTGAATACCTTAACCATGTTGGGATACATACAGCCTGCCATCAGCTAGTGTAACCTTTGATGTCATGGGTTTTTTTTTTGTTGTTTTTAAGTAGGGGAAGGCTAGCACAGTGATTATTTGACATAACAAAAATACAGAACAAACAGCATTCTACAAAATATCAAATTTATTTATATAAAATATTTTACACATGAATAACTGTACACATGCACACGCCCACACAATACTTTACCACAAATTTAGGCCAGTAGTTTTCTTTAATTTCATAACTCTAGCACACAGTAGTATCTTACAGTAATTTACATTATAATTCTTTGAAGACACAATGGGGAAAGCTTTGATCGTTCATTTATAAACCTTCCATAAATTACAAAAGAAAGGCAGTCTGAAAAGTATGTATAAACAGTAAAAACAATTTACAAATGGACAAGAATTACAAAATAGTAACTGCCAATGTCTGCCAGCAAGATTGTTTTAATCAAGAAGCCAATATTAGAATTAGTGTTTTGAAAGATTTGTACTATAATGGTAGAGCCTTTTAACTAGCTACAGCTTGTGTGTATAACATACACCTCTTTCATTGCTGCACCTAGTACATGCATTTTATCTTGATTCTGACATCTATAACATGAAAAATAATTTTTAACTTAAAACTGCACTTCCACAAGAGAGAACACTTGGGGAGCAAAGATTATTGTTTTCTGGCTGTTTACTGAAACTTTCACACTAGCGCCAGGAGCTATAAAACAAGATTTTGAATTATTAACAGTGTGTGCATTCTCTGGATAGTTTAGGCGCTACCTCACGTTAGTATACTGAATGTTTGCTAAAGGAACTCATACAAATGTTTAAAAATGCATCCTGCACAACATTTTCAGCCTCCCAAAAATTACATCAGACATTAAATGGAGTCAGTAACACATTATTTGATCTTAATCTACCATGTCTGTGAGGTTGAAGAGACATTTGAATACACAGTACATACAAAGTATACGCTGTATATTTAGACAGTACGAATCATTGTGTATTAATAAGGCAAAACATCAAGGCTGAGTAAACTAGGAGTTTCAAGACCATTTTTGTTTAAGATAAATGTTAGGCTAGTTTGGGGTGAGCATTTTTGAAGAGGGCTCAAATAAGATTTTACTGCTTCCCCTAAAGTTAAAGGAGAATAAAGGCAGAGATTTATCCAATAGAGTTAGAGGTGTGGAGGTGCCTTGAAACAAAAAGATGATATCCTTCTAGTCTTAATTCCCCAAAATCATTTTTAAAGAAAAACAGATATTGACAACATTGCTCTTTAGTAGCAACAAATCCACTTCTTTTTTTCTTGCTGTTTTGATCAAACAAGTCACATGATTCTCTGATGTTTAGAAAGGGTTAAAAATGCAAAGGTTCTGTAAAGGTGTACTTTATAGTCATGAAAGCCCTAGTTTGAAGTTTTTTGTTTTTAAAAAAAAACCATAGCTTGGAAGCTTTACAAGTTGTCCAGAAGTAAATGAATCATTTCACTGCACCCAGCTTTTTCAGCAGTTTCTTGCCTTTGGAAAGCAGCCCCTTTTTCTTTTTCGAGGACATTTCCCTGCCTCTCCCGGGACTACCAGAACCCATAGATGACGTAGGTGACCCAGAATGGAGATGGACTGTGGGAGATGGTGCTCTCCTTGATGTACCTGTATTCTCAGGAGGAACCTATTAGGTATATTATTATAGTTTACTGAATGTTTGAAAGCACTCAAGAAAGTTGGTAACATAATTTTTGTACCCTTACCCACTTCAAAAAAAAAAAAAGGGCTGGCTCAATTCTTCTTTCAATAGTTTTAAGTATGCCATAGGGAAATAGAGACAATACATAAATACAGCTTCCCACAACTAACATTGTGAGCAAAGGTATAGAGCGAAAAATACACACTTCAGTGGGTCCTCAAGTTGGTTACATTTTTTTGAACAGAGCTGGAGCCTCTTATTTTGCCATCGTTTTGGCAAAAATCACAAATTTTGTGCTTCAGCACTCTTAAGAGTGCACGAATGAAGAGGGTCATTTATAGCTAGGGAATTATATTTATAAAATTAAACAGCAAAGTGGATTATATACTATAGAGCCAGCTCTATACTCCAAACAGTTTCCAGAAGGAATTACTGTATGTGCAAAGATGATCATTTAAAATTTTGATGTCCTTTGAACGCATTTTCTTAAAAGAGGTTAGCATACTGTATATACGTATTTAAGAAGATGGCACACTGGTTGAAAGAAAGAAAGAAAAAAAAAAGCGCTAAAATGAACCTTAATTGCAATCAAAGAAAGCTTAAAGACCCTGATTGCTTGTTGTGTGCTGCAGCTATCTGATTGCCAGGTGAAGATAAACCCTTGTTGCACAATACTTGGAACGTGACAGCATTCCTAAATATTTTAAACAAAGCTATTTTAATCATCAAAAAGCACTTGAATGAACTACTATAACTATTTATATTCCTCCTAATGCAACTACTGTGCCCTGCTGACAAAATGTGGTGCTGTATGTTGTAAGATGATCCTGTGTAGTATAAACCATGCCTCAGGATCCCTATTATCTTTAATTCCAGTTAAGACAACAGTAATACATTTAGCAGTTTGCTGTCTTATCGTGCAACAGTTTATTAAGCAAAGGGACTTCAAGCCTACTTTGATTTTAAATCAAGGTCTAATTCTAATGAAAAACAACTTGGTAAAGCACCCCCAACGTACACCTGAAGATACCATATATTTAGTCTAATGCATTCATTGGGTGAGCTGCATGTTTCATATTGACACATTTTTATTGTATTGGTAAACCAAACCACTGCTAAAGTGTTTCATAAGCATTTGCACTGATATGGACAGTCCTAGTAAATTGTGGCATATATATGTGTGTGTGTGTGCATGATTTCAGAATTACTGACTGGCTATAGTCATAGCAAACTGGGGTACAACTGATTGTGGGAAACAGATTTTAAGGCAGACGGTTTAAGCAGATATTTGTGATTGCGTTTCAGAACTATATACCTCTGTAAACTTCTGTACTTATCTGCTTACAACTCACTTGCTTATTATTTAAGGGTGGGTGTTGTGCTTTTTTTCCTGTATTTAGGAACGTAATGAGTTTGTGTATCTCAGGTTGGCTAACAATTCAATATGCAGCTTTTATCGGTAGCACAATTAGACACTGAACACTTCTTTTGATGTAAACAGAAACATTTAGCTCATGGAGAAATATGTTCCAAATGCTGACCTTCATAAAGTTAACCCTAATTAGATGGGGGGAAAAACCCTTAATAGCCATGTCAAAGGATTTCTTTGTCTCATGCAAACACTGACTTACAAGTACATACAGTAAATGTCTGTATCCTGTTACTTTGGGGCCATTGATTTTGGAGACATATTTCTTTTTTTCACAGTTAAGTTTCAAGACTGTTGCATTAGATATTGTCAGGTGGCTTTAACTGATATCTTTATTGGTATCTTCAGTTGCTCACTTACGTGAAGGCTACATTGCCTTATTAAGGTGTGAAATGAACACTCTTCTTCTGTTTCCAAGCAGATGAGCAAAAAAATAAAAATATATATAAAATATATAATATATAAAAATATTGCAGTGATGAAACAAAACAAAAATGAAATACTCTGTACATGAATAATCTTTCATAAAGTGGAAGGTTTGGGCAGTTAACTTGTTAGTAGGACTAAAATCTTAAAAGGGTTAAAATTATTGTTAATCAGCTATTTTTACATTTTATATTTCAGGGAGTAGTTGTCCCACTCCTTCCCCATCCCCAGCTACTTTTCCTGTTTTAATCTAGGTAATGTGTATGTGTTTAAGTTTGAGGAAGTAAGAACTTTCACTAGAAAAGGCTGATGAAGTTACAATTTTATTTCATTCACCAGAATCTCTTAACTTAAAATTTAGGTTCATAATTATAAATGCTCATGATACACTAGTGTGAAAGATCAGTGCAATCTTTCCATATTTAAGAAGACTCTTAAAAATACCTAAAATGGGTAAGTGGATTTTAAAATGTCATAAATAATATCCAAACTAAATGAGATGGTATAATATGGGAAAAAAAATTAAATTATTTTTTAGTGTAGTTGCTTACCCTTTTTGCTTTTGTACGCAGTGGTGTGTCTTGAACATATCGTGATGGTGCATCAGAAAGATAGACTTCTACATCATCAGGCACTTCTTCAAGAAAGTTTGAAGGAACCAGCCCCTTCTGTCCATTAAGCTCACCCTGCAATATGACAACAATTGGTCTTGCAGTTATTTACAAATATGAATGACTGTAAACATGCAACACTCCTATGAGAGAGAGAACTACTCATCTGTATTTCATGGATGGAGAAACTAAGGGAGCAAAGAGCAAGTGACTTGCCCAAAATCACACAGAAAATCTGACAGAGCTGGGCACAGAATCTAGATTTCCTGGCTCCGATCCTGTGATTGAGGTGCAAATTATCTATCTTGCAAAAAAGAGGTTAAAAAAAAGATAGGCACAAAATGTTTTGTAATTTCAGATGAAGCTTGTGTCCAGTATATTAAAGGAATGTGTTTAGAGTACCTATCGTTAAGCTATGCATCCACTTCTTTGACAATATTAAAGTTACTGTGGCTTTTAATCTTGGTGCAGAGAAGGCTATGCTATGTATTGAGTAGCTAAGATCTTTTAATATCTCCTTTTGCATTTATTTTCTTTGCCTTTGCAAAGGGATGTGTAAAACTACTCATTGGATAATCAGAATTTACCTAAACCTGTTACACTAGGATCTGAATGTCCCTTATAAGGATAAAGTAGGGGCCAGATCAGATGATAAACATTCACATAAAGAATCTGACATCAGAAAAAGGGCAGACAAATAAACAGGGTCAAGTTTTTAAAGTGCTTGTACACAAATGCTAGAAGTCTAAATAATAAGATGGGTGAACTAGAGTGCCTTGTGATAAAGGAGGATATTGATATAATAGGCATCACAGAAACCTGGTGGACTGAGAGCAATCAATGGGACACAATCATTCTGGGGTACAAAATATATCGGAAGGACAGAACAGGTCCTGCAGGGGGGGAGTGGCACTATATGTGAAAGAAAATGTACAATCAAATGAAGTAAAAATCTTCAGCAATTCCGCATGTTCCATAGAATCTCTATGGATAGAAATTTCATGCTTTAATAAGGATATAACATTAGGGATCTATTATCGACCACCTGACCAGGACGGTGATAGTGAGGATGAAATGCTAAGGGAAATTAGAGAGGCTATCAAAATTAAGAACTCAATAATAGTGGGGGATTTCAATTATCCCCATATTGACTGGGAACATTTCACTTCAGGACGAAATGCAGAGATAAAATTTCTCGATACTTTAAATGACTGCTTCATGGAGCAGCTGGTACTGGAACCCACAAGGGGAGAGGCAACTCTAGATTTAGTCCTGAGTGGAGCGCAGGAGCTGGTCCAAGAGGTAACTATAGCAGGCCCGCTTGGAAATAGTGACCATAATACAATAGCATTCAATATCCCTGTGGTGGGAAGACCATCTCAACAGCCCAACACTGTGGCATTTAATTTCAAAAGGGGGAACTATGCAAAAATGAGGGGATTAGTTAAACAGAAGTTAAAAGGTACAGTGACTAAAGTGAAATCCCTGCAAGCTGAATGGGCGCTTTTTAAAGACACCGTAATAGAGGCCCAACTTCAATGTATACCCCAAATTAAGAAACACAGTAAAAGAACTAAAAAAGAGCCACCGTGGCTTAACTACCATGTAAAAGAAGCAGTGAGAGATAAAAAGACTTCCTTTAAAAAGTGGAAGTCAAATCCTAGTGAGGCAAATAGAAAGGAGCATAAACGCTGCCAAATTAACTGCAAGAATGTAATAAGAAAAGCCAAAGAAGAGTTTGAAGAACGGCTAGCCAAAAACTCCAAAGGTAATAACAAAATGTTTAAGTACATCAGAAGCAGGAAGCCTGCTAAACAACCAGTGGGGCCCTTTGATGATCGAGATACAAAAGGAGCGCTTAAAGACAATAAAGTCATTGTGGAGAAACTAAATGGATTCTTTGCTTCAGTCTTCACGGCTGAGGATGTTAGGGAGATTCCCAAACCTGAGCTGGCTTTTGTAGGTGACAAATCTGAGGAACTGTCACGGATTGAAGTGTCACGAGAGGAGGTTTTGGAATTAATTGATAAACTTAACATTAACAAGTCACCAGGACCAGATGGCATTCACCCAAGAGTTCTGAAAGAACTCAAATGTGAAGTTGTGGAACTGTTAACTAAGGTTTAAATCGTCCTCTGTCCTTTAAATCGGCTTCTGTACCCAATGACTGGAAGTTAGCTAATGTAACGCCAATATTTAAAAAGGGCTCTAGAGGTGATCCTGGCAATTACAGAACGGTAAGGCTAACGTCTGTACCGGGCAAATTAGTCGAAACAATAGTTATGAATAAAATTATCAGACACATAGAAAAACAAACTGTTGAGCAATAGTCAACATGGTTTCTGTAAAGGGAAATCGTGTCTTACTAATCTATTAGAATTCTTTGAAGGGGTCAACAAACATGTGGACAAGGGGAATCCAGTGGACATAGTGTACTTAGATTTCCAGAAAGCCTTTGACAAGGTCCCTCACCAAAGGCTCTTATGTAAATTAAGCTGCCATGGGATAAAAGGGTAGGTCCTTTCATGGACTGAGAACTGGTTAAAAGACAGGGAACAAAGTAGGAATAAATGGTAAATTCTCAGAATGGAGAGGGGTAACTAGTGGTGTTCCCCAAGGGTCAGTCCTCGGACCAATCCTATTCAACTTATTCATAAATGATCTGGAGAAAGGGGTAAACAGTGAGGTGGCAAAGTTTGCAGAGGATTTTTCACTTGACCACAGCTCAAAGAGCCAGGAAGTTAAACTGCTAAAGATAGTTAAGACCAAAGCAGACTGTGAAGAACTTCAAAAAGATCTCACAAAACTAAGTGACAACAAAATGGCAAATGAAATTTAATGTGGATAAATGTAAAGTAATGCACATTGGAAAAAATAACCGCAACTATACATACAATATGATGGGGGCTAATTTAGCTACAACAAGTCAGGAAAAAGATCTTGGAGTCATCGTGGATAGTTCTCTGAAAATGTCCATGCAGTGTGCAGAGGCGGTCAAAAAAGCAAACAGGATGTTAGGAATCATTAAAAAGGGGATAGAGAATAAGCCTGAGAATATATTATTGCCCTTATATAAATCGATGGTACACCCTCATCTCGAATACTGCGTACAGATGTGGTCTCATCTCAAAAAA